ATAAACTCTAATTCCTTCTACTCAAAGACAAAAAACTACTCCGTAGTTTTCTATCTTCTCAATGCTTTTCAAGTACTATAACTTGTCAAGCAAATCTACTACCTAGATTGTAAACAAGACTTTTGAATACAATCTTTACAACTTTATCACTCAACTAGCAGCACTCAAAAGACTTTAACAAAACTCTCTCAACCCTCTTGATCGTGTTAAGAAGTTCTCTCTTTGTAAGTGCGCAAGTTTTTCTGATCAAAATAGCTCTCTATTTATAAACCAGAAATTCAGCCAATTCTTGTACAAATCAACTTGTATTTGTCTTCTACAAATCCTTGTTGACTTCTACTAACTCTTTTACTCAAAACCTTATTGCACTCAAATTTGTTTTTAGTAGTTTTCCTTAACCAAGTAAACTACTCTAAACAAAACGTACATATAAGTTACCATCTATAACTAAACACTACTCGTACGCCGCCACTTGCACACCTGCTGCATTATTTCACTGGAACATGTTGAAGTTACCTGTTCAATACAATTTTGCCATTTCAAAATCTCAAGATTAACAAATTCCCCCTTTTTGACTATGACAAATAATCAACTTGCATTTGAATAGGTACACAATACATCAATCAACATATAGAACACTTTAATATCATCTGCACATCTGCAGGCTGCTTCCCCCTTTTGCCATTAGCCAAAATTGAAAACCAAAGTACATATGCATACTAAAATAGAGCATCAGACAAAGTCATTAGTTACATCAAGAGTTAGACATCAAACCAAAATACATACAAAAATAGTAGTGTCTACTTCAGTCTTTAACTAGTCAAAAACAAAAAATTATAAGATAATGCATATATGAGGATTGATTAAACAGAGGGTGCCATAGAGGTGGAAGAGTTTGAGGATCCCTTGGTTAGCAACCCCATGATACTTTGTAGATGTCCAAAACTCACTTCTCTTTCTTGATGTAACGCAGCCTGAGTTTGAGTGAGTTCTTCCTTAATCCTGCAGTTCTCAGCAATCAATTCCTCACGTTCCAATTTATGAGCAATCTGAATCTGTTCCATTTCTACTGAGTGAGCCTTTTTTAATGCTTCCATCTCCTCTTCTACAGCAGTAAGAGACGCCCTTAACCGTTGAGTTTTCACATCAACCCTTTTAGGTGTACCAGGCATGTTCATGTAATCCACCTTCCCCATGACATCAGAAATGATTTGAATCTGCCACTTCTTTACAGGCACACCAAAATGTTCAAATACTTGTCCCAACCAAAATCCATAAGCCAAACCCCTTTTCTTTTTATCAAGCTTGGACAAACTATGTATATGACTCATTATTAGGACCGACAAGTTTATTTGAGTCCTAGACAATAGTAAGTCCATAAGAGTAAGATCCAAGTAACATGCTTCAGTCCTTTTTTGCTTTCTTGGCAGAAGAATTTTATGAACTACATTAAACAACATCTGATGTAAAGGTAACATACATCCCTTGTCAACACTAGAGTATTCAGATAGAGTAGGATCATTTGAGAATCGCCTACATATGTCAAGTTGAGAGGTGTTACCCTCTAAAGGAGGCCAATCATTCTTGACATAGTGACCCCATCCCCTGTTAGGTATCCTAAGTATTGAAGACAGAGTCTCAGCAGTAAGTGTAAAAGAAATACCACAGACAGTACTAGTAATTGACGACGCAGTTCCTGTTGCATTGATATAAAATTCTTTGGTTTCTACTCTACCCATTTTACGCCTAAAAGATCCTTGGAGCATCAGTTCTGTCCATCCTTGTTCTTTTAAAATGATTACTAACTCATCCATCTCACCACCCCCAAAACCAGAAATTACTCTCCCCCTAATCACACTCCTCTTCTTAAAGGCTAATACTCTTGCATGGTAATCACTATCATCTAAATCATGAAATTTTGATTTGGATGAAATTTTTTTCGTTTCTGACTATTCACTGTATCTGATACAAAGTTTAAAGATGATGGAGACTTACGCTTTCTTGTGCGAATTTTCTTAGTCGACTGAGCCAAAATCTCTGCTTCTCGAGTACATTGTACAGATCTAGTTACTTGCATTGGTACCTTTGCCGGTAGAAAAGAGTGAGATTCTTCTGGAGTTTCAGGAAGAAACGTAGCAAGAGGTTTGCAAGAAGATGAACTTCATTTGGAACAAGTTCTGATTTGGGAAAGCATTTCAAGCAAAGTGATATTTTCATCATCGGAACTTTTTTCCCGGTCCTGTGACGAAAACATATGTTCCCCCTCACTTCGTGCACTCATATTTTCTTTCTCCAACCCTTGACTTCTCTCTTCCCCCTAATCTGATGCATCTTCCATAAGAGAACATCGAGTTACGCCGGTCAAATCAATGTAGAGAACAGCTGGTAGGGCGTGTAAGCTTTCTTGAGTATCAAATGGAATTATTGCTAGTGAGAGATTTGAGGACATGGACATTTTTTCTCAACAAACACAGTGTGAATTTTGGGATTTCAAGGGTTTGAGAGAGAATGAGAACAATCGGAGAAGAAAGAGAGAAAGGAACTGAGTTTTAAGAAGACTTATAGGGAAGTGTAAGGGTTTTATCTGAGAATGGGAACAGGTATGACTTGAAAGGTTTTTGCAGGTTTTGAATTGGCGGTTGTGATTTGTGATGATGATTTTTTTTCATTTAATTAAATCAAGGAACGTAATCCAATGCATTGGTCTTATAATTTTTAGTCTATCTTAGATAAGGAGAGTAGACATACCTTTAAGCATGCAATTATGATTTTGAGAGTCCATTCCTTCAGCTTCTAATTTCTTAGTTTGTCTTCATCATTCCTAGCTCCAGCCCGTTCCTTTCAAAGTGTTCCCTTGCTAATGCCTTTGTAAAGATGTCCGCGATTTGTTCTTCCGTAGTACAAAAGTTCATAGAGATTGAACCTTTCTCCACATTGTCTCTAAGAAAGTGATGACGAATGTCAATGTGTTTAGTTCTCTTATATTGTACCGGATTTTTTGCAATGTTTATTACACTAGTATTATCGCAGAAAATTGGAACTTGTTCAATTTTGAGTCCGAAATCACTAAGTTGTTGCTTGATCCATAGAAGTTGAGCACAACATGACACAGCTGCTACGTACTCAACCTCAGCAGTGGATAGTGCAACTGAGTTTTATTTCTTTGATCCCCATGAGATGAGACACGATCCTAGAAAGTGACCATTCCTGTAGTGCTTTTTCTATCACCCAAGTATCCTGCATAATCAGCATCCGCATACCCAACTAAATCAAAGTTGCTTCCTTTTGGGTACCAAAGTCCTAAATCAGAGGTTCCTTTTAGATATCTGAGAATTCTCTTGACTGCTTGAATATGTGATTCTTTAGGATTAGTTTGGAAGCGAGCACATAATCCCACACTAAACACAATATCAGGTCGACTAGCAGTAAGATACAAAAATGAACCAATCATGCCTCTATACAGTTTTTGTTCTACAGTAGAACCTGTTCCTTCAAGGTCTAACTTAGTGGCCGGGGCTATTGGAGTATCAATTGGTTTGGCATCATCCATTTTAAACCTTTTAAGCAATTCTTTAACATATTTTTGTTGATGAATCCATGTACCTCCAGGTGTTTGTTTTATTTGAAGCCCAAGGAAGTAGTTTAATTCACCCATCATACTCATTTCAAACTCATTGCTCATAAGATTTGCAAATTCTTTTGTGAGGATCTTATTTGTTGCTCCAAATATAATATCGTCAACATAGATTTGCACGATCAGGAGACCTTTTTCTTTATTTTTGAAGAAGAGTGTATTGTCAATTTTTCCTCTTGAATATCCATGACTCAAAAGAAATTTTGACAATCTATCGTACCATGCCCTTGGAGCTTGTTTTAACCCGTAGAGAGCTTTGTCAAGCTTATAGACATGATCAGGAAAGTCATTATTCTCGAAGCCAGGGGGTTGTTTAACAAAAACCTCTTCTTGTAATAGCCCATTTAAAAAAGCACTTTTGACATCCATCTGATACAATGTGAACTCCATGTGAGATGCGAAAGCTATAAGCAATCTGATTGCTTCTATTCTTGCCACGGGTGCAAAAGTTTCATCATAATCTATCCCTTCTTCTTGATTATATCCTTGAACAACCAGCCTAGCTTTGTTTCTGATTATGGTACCATGTTCATCTAACTTGTTCCTAAACACCCATTTAGTTCCAATTATAGTTTTGTTTGAGGGCTTAGGTACCAGATGCCATACTTTAATCCTTTCAAATTGATGTAATTCTTCTTCCATGGCTATAATCCAATCTGCATCTTGAAGGGCTTCACTTATTTTCTTTGGTTCTACCATGGATAGAAATGCATTATGAGCATAATGATTCTTCATTCCTGATCGGGTGGTAATTCCAGAAGATAGATTAGTGAGCAGGTTTTCCAATGGGTGTGATCCTTGGTATTTGTACTCTTTTAGGGTAGGAGTTGATCTTTCCTTCTCTTGCTCTTCATTAACATCTGGTTGATTTTCATCAGTATCAACTCCTTCATCAGAATTCACTTGAGTTTCAGTTTCTTCTTTGTTTGTTATGTCAGAGGAACCGGTTTCTTGGACCTGTTCCTGTTCAGAGACAGTATGTTCTTCAGCTGATGTGTTACTGACCAACACATCTTCATTAGACATAGTGTTGCTTTCATCGAAAATAACATGGACACTCTCTTCTACACACATGGTTCTTTTGTTGAGTACCCTATAAGCTTTACTATGTGTAGAATATCCAAGAAAGATTCCGTTATCACTCCTAGAATCAAATTTTCCAAGCAGATTTTTTCCATTGTTATGAATAAAACACTTGCATCCAAATACTCTAAGATGAGAGATGTTGGTCTTTCTGCCTTTTAATAATTCATATGGAGTTTTTTCTAACAAGGGTCTGGTCATGCAACGATTTATGGTGTAGCAAGCAGTGTTTATTGCTTATGCCCAGAATTGGTTTGCGATTTTACTTGTGATCATCATAGTTCTAGCCATTTCTTGAAGAGTTCTGTTCTTTCTCTCTACCACACCGTTTTGCTGAGGGATTCTGGGGGCAGAGAAGTTATGATTAACTCCATGATAGTCACAATATTGGGCAAATTTTGAATTTTCAAATTCAGTTCCATGATCTGATTTGATTGCCTTTAATTGTTTCCCATATTTTCTTTGAATTTTTCTCATCAGTGAACAAAAAGCCTCAAAGGCATCATCTTTTGCTGCAAGGAATCGTGTCCAAGTGTACCTAGTGTAATGATCCACTAATACAAACACATATCTTTTCCCCCCTCTACTTTGAACCCTCATTGGTCCACATAAATCCATGTGAATTAGTTCTAAGGAACAAGTTGAGCTTACCATCTGTTTGGACTTAAATGATGATTTTATCTGTTTCCCTAGAGTACACGCTTCACAAACCTTATCCTCCTTGAATTTATTTTTTCGGCAGTCCTATAACTAAATCCTTGATGATAAGTTTGTTTAATTGAACTTGGCTAGCATGACCCAACCGTTTATACCATAACAAGAGATCTTTTTCCAACACACTTAAACACACTAGATTTTTGTTAGAGATAGTTGAGGTATCTACAGTGTAGACATGTTTATCTCTTTTTCGTGTTAGCACTAATTTTTGTGTGTTTAGATTGATTACTTCAACACCAGTGGATCGAAAGATTACCTTGTTTCCGTTGTCACACAATTGAGATATGCTGAGTAAATTGTGTCTAAGTCCTTCCATATAGTATACTTTATCAATTGAATGTTCATCAGATCTTCCAATCTTTCCACATCCTTTGATTTGTCCCTTTTTTCCACCACCAAAAGCAACCATACCTCCTTTTCCTTCTTCTAGTGAGAGAAACAATGTCTTATTCCCTGTCATGTGTCTTGAGCAAGCACTGTCCATGTACCACTGCTGCTTGCTTTCTCTTACTTCTTCCTGAAAAATTAGAGGTGACATTTAGGAACCTAGATTAGCTTGGGTTCTTTGTTTTGATCAAAAGGGTGAATCAAATTTCTACGAGCCCATTTGGGCAGACTGTTTTTTCTGGGTATGTACCTGTTTCTCTGAACAGTTTTATAGGTTCTTTTTGAGTTGTTTTCTTCAGTGGCAATTTTGTATTTAGGACAATATTGTTTAGAATGACCAGAGTTACCACAAATGATACAAAACGTACGATTTCCATTTATGGGCTGTTCATATCCTATTCCGATTTTGATGTTCCTATTGTTGTTTCCTAGATGAGTTACTATCATAGAGGATTTTGTCCATTTATTTGCTCTTTCCAGATCACTTCTTACTCTAGTCAATTCAAGATTTATCCTATTACAGTTTTCCTTTTCTAGCCTTAAAGTTTTTTTGAGTTTGTCAACCTCAAGCTTTTGGTCAGGCAGTTCACCCTCTTTTTCTTTGCCAAGAACTTTTAATTTTGAATTCTTAGTTCTTAGTTCCAGATTTTGGGTTTCAAGTTGCTTGATTTTTTCTTGAAGGTCGAGTTTGTTCTTATTGAGATCAATATGCTCAAACTTTAAGCTAGATAGGGAAGCAAGTAGTTGGCTTTTGGTGTTCACAAGTTCTTGAATTGTGTCTATGGATGCAAGCAATAGGAGTGACAACTTTTTCTTGGAGAACTTTACTAGCTTATCTTTTAGGTTAAGAAAGTTTACCTCAGTTTCTTCAGAGTCTGATTCAGGTTCAGCGTCTGATTCTTCTATCGCCACCAAGGCAAGGTCTTCAACATCTTCATACATGTCCGAAGAACCTGTTCCCCAGGATGCATACATTTCTTGTTCTTTTTCTTTGCTTTTCTTTTTGTTGAGGAGTTCCTTCCTTTCTTTTTCAGATTTTTCCTTTTTCCATTCTAATTCCCACATTGGGCAGTCCTTTATCTGATGATCTGTCTTACCACACTTAAAACAACCTCCGTTTTGTGATCGTTCAGGATTTTTTTCTTTCAAGGGTGGTGCTTTCTTGGTAGAGTTTAATCCCATTTTAAAGAGTTTCTTGAAGTTCCTACTTATCAGAGCCAGATCATCGTCATCTATGTCAGATTCGTCACTTTCAGTTGCTTTAAGACCAAGAACTTTTTCTTTATTCCCTTCACCTCTTTTGTCAACATTCATCTCATAGGTCGTGAGATTCCCAACTAATTCATCTAAAGACATATTAGTTAGGTTCTTAGCTTCTCTAATGGCAGTGACTTTTATTTCCCAAGACCTAGGCAAAAGCCTAAGTACTTTGTCAACCTGTTCTTCAGTGGTATATACTTTGCCTAATGAGATTAGTTCGTTTACCACAGTGGTGAATCTGGTGATCATATCTTGAAGAGATTCTCTGGATTTCATCTTAAAGACTTCATATTCTTAACACAAACTAGCAATCCTGAATTTTCGGACTTGAGTTGTACCTTCATAAGCGTTTTGTAAGGTGTCCCATATTTGTTTAGCAGAGATACAACTTGAGATACGGTTAAATTCATCAGGTCCTAGTCCACACACAAGAATGCACTTAGCTTTTGCATTTTTTCCTAGCATCTTATAATCTGCTTCATTATATGTATCTGCGGGTTTAGGTATTTTATTTCCTTCACTATCAGTAATGGTAGGAATTAGTGGTCCCTTAGTAATTCTTGCCCATAATTCGTAGTCTTCAGCTTGAATGAAGTCTTCCATCCTTGCCTTCCACCACGAGTAGTATTGTCCATTAAATAGGGGAGGTCTGTTGATGTGTTGCCCCTTACCGTGTCCGAGTGGAGGTGCAGAACTCATGTTGATCTTATCTTGAGTTGTTAGACTCTCTAAAGATAACTTTGCTCTGATACCACTTGTTGGAATTCTACCCTCCTGAATTCTTCAAAGGAACACGTACTAACAACTAGTTTGTGGTTGCTTGAAAAACTTTAACAGTAATTAATTTGAACAGTACTTTGTATTATTTGTAAATTTCAAGTAATACAAAGATTACAACGCTTTAGCTCTCAAGGAATTATAAACTCTAATTCCTTCTACTCAAAGACAAAAAACTACTCCCTAGTTTTCTATCTTCTCAATGCTTTTCAAGTACTATAACTTGTCAAGCAAATCTACTACCTAGATTGTAAACAAGACTCTTGAATACAATCTTCATAACTTTATCACTCAACTAGCAGCACTCAAAAAACTTTAACAAAACTCTCTCAACCCTCTTGATCGTTAAGTTACCATCTATAACTAAACACTACTCGTACGCCGCCACTTGCACACCTACTGCATTATTTCATTGGAACATGTTGAAGTTACCTGTTCAATACAATTTTTCCATTTTCAAAATCTCAAGATTAACAATATATATATATATATATATATATATATATATACACACACACACACACACACACACATGTTTTATGAATTCTAAATCGAAAAAGTATATCATGAACTATATAGCTAAGTATATACATATATATCTATTTTCAATTGTGAGTCGAAAGAGCACACTCTCTCTCACACACGCACACTCGCACAATATTGGAAATTTGATCCCAAAATATTGGAAAATACTAAATAAGTGAACTCATGATTGAGTCCACCACCAAACATAATGAGAGATAAAAAAGTATTTAGGTTTTGTATGGTAACTCAACAAAGGCAAAAAGATAAGTTTCTTTTTTTTAATTTTTATTTGGAGATCGATATTCATATTGAAATCCAGTTAAATTCAAACTTGCGCTAAATAATCTCATATTAGGAGGTAAAAGCTTTCTCACAAAAGCAATTCCATAATCAGGATAACTCGAACTCGAGACATTTGATTATGAATAAAAAAGACTTAACACTCTATCACGATCCAATATCAAAAAAGAAATCTTAAACTAGAAACAGGACGTGATACTCCAGCATCGAATGCCTTTCTATCCTAATCAAACAAGACGGGGTGGATAAATGCTTTTTAGGATGGCAATGGGGCGGGGCGGATGTGGGGCGAGGTGGGTTTAAAGCTATGCGGCGCGGACGGGTTTAAGGTTGTGCGGGAGAGGGGGGAGGGTAGGATGTGGCGCGGATTGAAGTGGGTTCTTTTTAAATTAATGTGGGGCGGGACGGGTTGCAGGTATATGTGATTTCATGTGGCTTCAAAATTAATTTGAACTTTTTACATGTTATAAAAGTGATATAGCATATTATTAAAATAATTTTTTAACGTAAATTATTTTGAATGACTAAGAAACTAGAAAGAAGAAAAAATTATCTCACTAATTGAATTTAATATTTTGTTATTACGTCAAACATAACCAATTCAAATCCATAAATATAATGGTGCTAACATATTAAAAGAGTTATAAAACATTGTAATGTTAAAATGATGTTATAACATGTTAATTTTAGTGATTAACGACTAACAAAATTTTAATTTCTTCAGCTAAAAACTTACTAAGCCTATTATTTGAAATGTTTTTACAAAATATGTGGGATGGGGCGGGGTAAGGCGGGTTTTTGCGGGGCAGGGTGGGTTGAAAACAACAAAATATGTTATGTTGAGCGAAGCGGGGCGGTTAGAGATCTTAGCCGGCTTAAACAGGTATGCCCGCAACCGCCCTGCCCCATTGCTATCACCTAGTGCTATTCCCTTCATTTTCCCAAGATAATTGATAATTTAAGTGGACCCAACCACATCAGTGATGTCTTTCTGTTCGTGGAAAATATAAATTAACTTGATTTGATTTGTTACATCAAAAAATAATTAATTTGACTTTAGAGAAAGAAATCATAATCATTTTAAAATGGAAGGAGTGTTAATTACAAGCAAAATGACAAGGATATGTATTAAAAGATGACATATATAAATTTTTTTCAAAGGTAGATAATATATTCAAACTTTTTTTTATCAATTTAATTTTCGTAGCATAGAACTCTAATAAGAGGTAACATGGAAAGAATGATTTCGCAAAATCATCAAACTTGTCCGTTAAAATATAATGATATGAATTGTCCCTTTATGTAGTGGCAACGGGAATGATTAAATACAACTTTTTAACAACTGACATAAATGATTTTTTTTCTCAACATCAATTCAAAAAGGAAAAATAACTTAACTACACAATCTTCTTTTCATAATTTCTAAAATTACCTATCATTTTAAAATATTTCAAAAATCTCTCTTTTCCTTTTTTCCCTCTCATTTCCAGATACATTATTTATCTCCCTTCCATTCCATCGTTTTTGTTCCTATTTTTATGCCTAAAATCACTCTCATATATCAACAGTTATATCAATCACTCAATTATGTCTCAAGTTCATCAATTTCAAGTTCCTAAAGAGGTAGAACTATTTCTTCATCAATTTTTTATTTTCAATTTTTCAGATTTTGTTTTTATTTTATTAAAAAAATTAATGTTTTAATTTACAATTTTCATATACATGTGAATTCTGCTCCGTCTTTTAGTATGATACCTTGTGTATTTTATTTTGATGATGAAAACTTTAATGAAAATAGATCTAATCAACTCATTATGATTTCGACGATGATGATTGGGCTGAATATTGATCTAAAAGCTTGTAGGATCCATTAACAATGAAAAAATGATAATATTTAGAAGACAAAGTCGAAGAAGGATGAAACTTCATCTTTTAAAGCGAATGTGAAAGAACCCCAAAAAAGGATAGAATTGTTGCACCTGCTATGTGGTATGTTATCTTTGAAGAAAATGATCTAGGATTAACAATCTTAGGAGGTTGATTTCTGGATAAATGGTTACTTCTCTAAAAATTATTTTTTTGAATTAATGTATTTTAATTTTGATCTCAGTATGTATATTTTCTTTATTTTTTGGTTATAATTGTAGTGCTTGTGATATACAATACATAATAAGATACTTTTAAAAATTATCCGATACAAATAAGTTTTATAAATTTAAGTATCACACAATTTTGTCATTCAAGAGCTTGTTTATTAAGTTAAAGATACCCTTTATATCTAGGGCAACTTTCACATATAACAAAAAAAATCATATTTGTATACTATAACAAAGTTTGCATAATTGCGCTCCATAGCAAACATAAAACTGTATAATTCGCCATACATATACAATTGTATAATTCGCTGATCTCGCTATACATATATAATTGTATGATTCGCTGGCGTAGATTGTATAATTCGCTGGCCTATTTCGCTTCAATTGTATAATTCGATGGTCTGTTTCATTACAATTGTATAATGCGCAATTGTATAATTTGCTGGCCTATTTTGCTGCAATATCTGTATAAAATTTGCTTTGCATACAATTGAATCGAAGTAAAATATTTGTATATTGTATAATTATTAGTATATAGGAAGAAGATATATGTTTTTGCATGTGTATATACAATTTTCTCTCGCTTTATACAAAATAGAAACACAATTTATACACTTCTGATGTATATAGCGAGAGGCGAGCAGAGGGAGAGTGGCGAGTGAGAAAGGGAGTGTGGCGAGCGAGAGTTTTGGGAGAGAGACGACTGACAAACTTTGACAAATGTTTGCTATGGGGCACAATTAAATCAAACAACAACTACTTCATTTATTTTAGGTTCTTAGTTTGCTATTATATACAATTATTTCGTATATCTAACCACGACAATGTATATCTCAACATGTACCAATTACATAAATTAATATATCAAATATATTATTTTTCTTTCCTTTTATATGTAATATTTAACATAAAGTTATAGTATATACGGTCATTCACAATCATGACGTATCATATACATTATTATTAAAATAAAAAAATATATATTATAAATATATTTTACCAGAATTATAAAATTTAATAGTTTAACAGTGTGACTAAATTATTTTCCACCAGAAAAGTACACAAAGTTAAACAAATTTCTATTTATTAATATATAATAGTAACACTTCATTATATTGGAAGTTGAATGTATTTTCTACAAAAAAATGTATCACTTTTCTTTGGGTAAGAAAGTACAAGATCGCATGTTGTGCCTTTCATGTCTATAACGTCCACAACGATTTCTGTTCGTATTCTTTTCGTGACCGTCCAAGCATTCTTTTGTATCGAGATGACAAGACAATTTCTTATATGGTAATGGAATCATTGAATCTTTCAAAATTACTTATTTACCTTTCAAGATAAACAACATAATGTTTCATCAGTAGGCTTATTGTTTTTATTAAGTATCAGTTTAACTGATTTACAATTTGTAGGTAGACTTATGTATCAAGTATAATTTTATATTTTTATGTATCATATTAAAACTTCTATTAAATATAAATTTGACTGATTTATAATAGTTAGAATTAGGCATAATACATATATTTGCCCTTAAACTTGACTTCAAATTTTAAGTATCACCTCAAACTTTCACAGTGCACAAATATGCACTTTACCTATCCTATTTTTTATAAATACACACGCGATTTTTGGAACCAAAGAGCGTGAAATACAATTGCGTTCACGTGTATTAGTGAGCCACTCAATAACTGTCAACTAATTAAATATTTTATACGTCATTATTTTTTAAAATGACACGTCATTTAAGAACTAAAAAAATTAAAACTAATTTTAATTAATATAGAGGGTAACGTTTCTAGAAGTTGTATTATCCACGTTTCTACCCATTTCACCCGTTTGTTCATCAGTTACTCAGCTCAAAGGTGAAAACCCTAGGTTATTAGGGGAATCAAAATCATGGAA